CCTCAACTAGATATTCAAGCCATTGAAACATCAACCAAAATCTCAACAAGACAAAGAAAACCACCAAACTACCTTAGAGATTATCACTGCAACATAGTCCATTCTCACCTGCATGTCAATTCATCATTAGGTACCTCCTACCTTCTCTATAATTTTCTAACCTATGATTATCTATCACCTTGCCATAGATCTTTTATTTTTTCCATCTTTAATCATGTTGAACCAAAAACATATAGTCAAGCCGCCAAACATGATTGCTAGAATCATGCCATGGATCAAGAAATAGTTGCCCTTGAATTGAATAAAACATGGATCCTAACTAATCTACCTCTTGAAAAGAAACCCATAGGATGTAAATGACTTACCAAATCAAATATAAATTAGATGGGAGCATTTAAAGGTATAAAGTTAGGCTGGTGGCAACGGGTTACAACCAAATGGTGGGTGTGGATTACTTTGAGACCTTTTCTCCAGTTGTGAAATTTACTACAATTAGGACTGTGCTAGCTTTAGTTGTTCCCAAGGGTTTGCTTTTACATTAACTAGATGTAAATAATGTTTTTCTCCATGGAGATATTGAAGAGGAAGTTTAAATGCAAATCTAACAAGGTTTCCAACCAAGTATGCAAGCTGATCAAATCATTATATGGTCTTAAATAAGCAAGTAGGCAATGGAATTCCAAGTTAATTGCAACCTTGATCTCTCTTGGGTACATACAATCCAAGTTAGACTATTCATTGTTCATCAAGGCCACCAGTCATCACATCACTATTTTATTGGTATATGTGGATGATGTCGTCCTAATAGGTGATGATCTCACAGAAATACAATAGGTTAAGAACTTTCTCAACCAGCAGTTTCAAATCAAGGACACTGGGGATCTTAAACTTTTCCTTGGTTTTGAAATTGCTAGATCACACACTGGAATTTTTCTTAATCAAAGTAAATATGCTCTTGAATTGTTAGATAATAGTGGTTTATTGGGATGCAAACTTGTCAGTACTGCTTTGTTAACTACCCATGAAACTTGTCAAAGATGATGGTAATCTTTTTTTCTAATTCAACATCCTATCGAAGACTAATTGGTTGTCTCTTATGCCTCACCAATACTAGACCAGACATTACTTTTGTTGTGAATAAATTGAGTTAGTATGTCTCTAATCCAATACAATCTCATCATGAAGCTACCATGTGGGATCTGCAATATGTTAAATGGTCACCAGGAAAAGGATTATTTTTCCTGCTTCTTTTGATCTCAAACTAACTACCTTCAGTAATTCAAATTTGGATACTAGGAAGTCATTCATATGCTTTTCTATTTTCCATGGTCATGTTCTTATTTCTTGGAGATCTAAGAAATAAGAAACAAATTCCAGATATTCATTTGAGGCCG